GCAGCATTTTATAGGTCTGCTGTATGGGCCCACTTTGCATTTAGAGTGACCTACGATGACGGCGGAAAGAAAGTTGTGGATAAAAGTGCAACAGTGTGCAAGCATTGTGCAACACGTTTTGTTTATGCTAACATCAACATGACCAACATGTCATGCTAACCCCGAAATCCCACATTCTCCGTCAGCGCTTTTTTTCATTTTTTCATTTTTTTTTTTCAATTTTTTTCATTAATTTCATTAATTTTTATGGGATTTCAGTGTATCAATCAGCATATACCGAACCGAAAACCGTGACCAGGAAACCGTGAACCGAACCGAACCGTGGATTTTGTGAACCGTTCCACCCCTAGTACCTATATTAGATACTATTACAGTAACAACATAAATCTGTGTAATAAGCTTAATTTCCTTCTGTGTTTTTCATTAACTGCCATATGGATACTCACCTCATACTTTAGGGTTTGTCTTCCATTAGGGATTATCATCACTGGCCCCTTACTGCCACCCGTTGTTTAATTAACAAATATAGTTTTTGAGGACAGCTGTGGAAGCAGAGCCGGCGAGAAAAACTGCTGATAGAAGTGTTCAGCGTTGATTCAGTTGTGCTCATTACTTTGGCACTTTCCCAACTTTAATTAATCAGCAGACATATTTCCGATCTCTTAAAATATTCACAGCTTTCCGGGACCAGTCAGGGATTCAGAGTCTTCAGTGGGGGTGGCCACTAATCCGCTGATTACTCACCTTTTACTGTAAGGGATAGAGACTAGTTGTAATGGAAACATCAACTACTGAAGCACTGCTCAAGTCTTTTATATATCTTTTTGTTTGTCTTTAAAACGCTTTATATTGTAATTCGTTTTCCTCTCTTATATTTCCAGACTTTTAACATATCCTAATTGAAATCTTCGTCTGCACATGTAGAGCACTGACAGACGTTCTCAAATTCTCTGTGAGGTTTAACGGTCTTCTTTCCTTCCAGCTCTGATCCAGATGCTGGCAGCTGCTGAGGCGGGCCGAGACGTCGCTTATTTCACCTTTGGTGACAGCCAGCTCATGACAGATGTCCACAAGATGCACTCCTTCCTCACCCAGAGGAACATCAGTGTTGGTGAGGCAGCCACACATCCTGTCTATCTTTTTTCTTCCTCTCTTCATTGATACGAGTCCCACAGCCTGTGGTTTTAGCCCTAATGAGATTGCTTTTCCATCTTTATGTTGTTATCTTTATTTGTGTTTTGATGATTTACTTCATAATCTCAGATAACAAATCTTAGTTTAAGCTTTTTCAGAAGCTCAATGTATACAAACATTTCAAATACTTTTTTACTCCATCGTGCTGCAGCCCATCAAACGCCCCAAACTAATACTTCATTAATGCCCATGAAAAATACATTTGAAACTGACTAATTGGCTCATGTTAATCAGGCAAGTCAAACCCTAGTTTGTGCACACAAACAACAACAACAACAAAAAAAATCTGATATACAATATTTCTGTTTCCTCCACAGGGGAGGTGTACGATCTCCTGGGGCAGTACTACAATTCAGTTTGTAGAAACAGCCTCAGTCGGCGCCCTGATGTCAGCCTCTACTCCTTCATCTACAGACAGCTCAGACATTCTGTGGAGCCTGCTGAGTCTGGCCAACATTCACCCACAGAGTGCCCTTAAGCTCACAAGGCTGAAGAATCACTATGCCTTAAAGTGAGATGGAAAATAAAGGACTACCATAATCAACAGAAATAATTAAAAGGCTCGAAAATGACAATTCATATTACTATTAGCTTTAAGATAGGTGGTTTAAGTTCATGATTTATATTTTATAAAGCATATCAAAATCATATCCCTATTAATATGCCTTCAACGTGTATTTAGCCTTTTCATTTTAACTGGTTCAGGTTTATTGCATTCCAATAATATCAATAACTTAATAATAGGCTGTCTATATTAATCAGATTTTAAACTACAAGAAGAGAAATAAAAGTATCAAAATGTGGAAGGGGATTAATAAACTACATTCACAAGGGAAACATGGAATTATTAGGCATAGAAACAAAGATAAACATTTTGCCTTGATTTATATATATGAATTCCTTTACACTTACTTTTTTTTTATTTGTCAGAGGAAAATCCAAATGGTATTGGGCATTTTAATTATTTCTTTATGTTTTTGTTTTACTCTGGAAATGTTTATCGGTTCTGGTCTTTGTAATATTTATCCATATATGAACAAAAAATGCGCTTAATACTTGACACCTAGAAATAAAAAAGGAGCAACCTGTTCAAAGCCAAACTGTTAGATAGAACGCTGCTTGGTTCTTTATTTTGTTTCTGTGGATAATACAGCAGCTGATTGAGCTCCATTTTATTGACAATGCAAAGGTTGCCATAGATCTTCAATGTTTGTCATGTAGCTTGGTTTTAAACCCGTACTACTTAGTTTGAGATTCTTTTTTTTTTTCTTCCAGAAATTAAGAGTATGTGAATAAAATTGTAGCTAAAAATAAGTTTGGATTAAAAATGCAGTGTTGCTTTGTATGTATTTTATTTCATTACAATGTTGTGTTTTGACTAAAATTGATTGGATGTTTTCCTTTTCCTGAATGTCATTACATTCAACTTGATGTGATTTTCTATCCTTCCACTGGTCTTATTGATATTCATTGTTTTAAAAGTACTATATAATTTTTTTTCCTAATGTATTTTGTTTTGGAATTCAAAAAAAGTGTTAAATAAAATAATTTCAGTTTCTTTCCCCCCCACCTCTAATGAAATGAAGCTATATACATCACTGATGATTTACTGAAATATTAAAATGATAGTTTTAAGTTGGTGTTAAAGGTGAGGATTTAATAAATTCACAGGGTAATATATGTAATATACCTATATTTGTAATATACCTATTGTACCTATTTTTTCAGTTTTCTACAAGTGAAACCCATTTCATCCCAAATGACAGTAAACATTTTTATTTAAATATAAAATTAGTTTAGTTTGTTCCTGTGGATAAACAAGTGGGCAAGTTTACTAAAGAGAGTGTAGGTGTCAAAGCTTTGTTCCGTCTGCCTTTATGGAATCAGGACCCGAGACAGCAGGTTGCTCTTTGTTGCATGCTGAGTTCAAAAAACAGCCTTTGGTGGCAAATCTCCAGGGGGATCCACCCTAGACTCAAACAGAGTATCCTACTGGAGTGTTCTCCCTACCAGTTAACGTCATGTGTGTTTTTGACCTTTAGGCTGACACCTTTAGTAGAACGGACGCAGTAGTGTAGTTAGTTGGAGGAAAGTCTGATCCAGTGCCTTACAGATGTTGCCATACCTCTTAAAATGTTTCCAACATGATCTGAAATTGTTTTTATGTTGTTTTTGCAAATAAATTCTAAAAAACTATTCCATGCGTAATTCTTTAGCTCCTCTAAGTAGGACACTTAAAGGTATAGTGGAGGATTTTCATGAATTTCTGAAGAGACCCGCCCTCTCCACTTGCACATGCACAACTCTGTACCCGCTTCCGACAGGGAACGCCTATTAAATGCATGTGAGAGCGTGCACAAGCCCTTTTGTCCTCGTGCAAGCTCTGTTTAAAAGTTGCTGTTTGCGTTGGTCAAACAAGCTTACTTTCCAAAAAAAGATTTGTAATTTTTTCACTATGTCAGACTCACCATCGGTAAGTGAAAATGAGGACGGATGAGCACATAGGACGGCCTTATTTAAACACATCACCAGAATGATTGACAATTAGGAGGACCACTTATTTTAATGATCCACCCAGAAAAAGAACATCCTCCACTATACCTTTAATGATGAGAACATATACAATATAGAATAATGAGATTATATGATTTGTCTAATGCAGGTGAACACTTATCTAATATTTAATCAAATAATTTAGTTCATTTTCAAGAGTTGAAAGACTGATGTAAGGTCTGGCATTAGCAAAATAGCAAAATATGTAATGAATTTATAACAACTGTTTAAAACTTAAGAATTATCAATGATTCACTGTATGTTAAATATATTTCAATCATCAACTCTTGACTAGGCTACTTAAAGTTAACTAAAACTGATATACAGGTGCTGGTTATAAAATTAGAATATCATGAAAAAGTAGATTGATTTCAGTAATTCCATTTAAAAAGTGAAACTTGTATATTATATTCATACATTA